TGTTTGTTATTAATTGCGCGCAAAGGGAGTCGCGGGCGACTTCCTTCTCAGATATGTGCAGCATCACGATGTTTTCCTTCACCGTAAGAACATAGGATAAATGTACATATGTAAATCGTAAATGGAAAAACACATTGGTACATGGCGGGATTCGAACCCAGGAGGTGCAGATTGCAAGTCAAGCGCTTGACCACTGAGCCACCGACGCTTTTGTGTGTAAATATTACATAAAGCGACGTAGCAATTATTTTTACAATCACTTTAACGGTCATTACGAATCAGCGGTCAAAAGGTTAAAAACACGTGACTTTGAATATTGTCAAAATTTTTTGGAGTTTTTATTTTACAATCTTACTTCTTACTTATATTATAAATGCGATTGTTTGAATGTATGGATGTTTGTTTGAAGGTATATGTAGAACGCCGTTATTCTGGCAGAAATATTGGCACAGATGTAGAACATTGTTTGAAAGAACACATGTAAGCTACTAATTGATTTCGCGCGGACGTAGTCGCGGGCGACAGCCAGTTATATAGATCTCCTCCTTAATTCACTAGATGAGTAACAAATTAGTTTTTTTTAAGTGAAACAATACATTATTGTCAAATTGACTCGTCACGTTTTATCCAATTCACAAAAAAGAGTACACGTGACTCCTCTTACTTATTACGAACTTTAAGTATTATAAGATTCCAAATTTATGTCGGCTCGTGATTAAATATACTTTGGAGGATGTCAGACGTCGGAGCACCACATCCACCCTTGAGGGGTTAAGCATTTGACTTGTAATCTGCAGATCCTAGGTTCGAATCCTGTGATATACCAATATGTTTTACATATGTACATTTATCCTATGTTGTTAGTGTGAAGGAAAACATGTTGACGCTTCACATATCTGTGAATGTCAAAGATATGTGTGAAGTGATGCACTGGACCAGCATTCACTATCACATAGTCACATCACTTAGACTAGACTCCGACACCTTCAGTAGGGACTCAGTGAGCTGATGATGATAATGCTTGTGGTTATCTGGGTGAATCTATAACAGTGGTAGAAGCCAACAATAATATCTCTTATAAGAATCAGCTCGCCTGATAAAATACCACGACCACACAGAAGACAGGCGTGAAATGGAAGCAATTCCTAGTTTCGTTAACAAACAGCTTTTCTTTCTTTTTATTTTTAATTCTTTTAATTAAGCGGACTTACGCCTGTAGCCCAGTGTGGTAGGCAGAGACCACGGACCTTCGTTTGACGCGGACTTCGTCAACGAATACATCTCTTCCTTTAATTAGGTAAAACAAAGTATGTATGTATTGTGCGAAAGAGGATATGCCTAAGGTAGATTCAGATATGACGGCTGATGGAGATACGTACTCCATACTACTCCAACTCCATACGTACGTACTGTACCTACCCTAGGTAGGGATGAGGGCAGGTTTTTTCTTATATCATAAGGTGGTAAACGAGCGAGCGGCCACCTGAAATCGCTGAAATAGCGAAGTGACCGTTGCCCATAGACATACGCAATTGCATATGCGTTGCCTACCTTTAATCGATGGCGGAGAGGATGCACAGAAAGAAAGTATTTCCCCTTCCCATGCATCCTCTCATTCGGAAAGTCCACTTCCCATCCTATCCTTATAAGGAAAACTGTGGGAAGGGAAAGAAGACTAAATTAGGCCTCCGGAACGCACACTCATCAGACTGTACGCGGAATTGCTTCCACTTCACGCCTGTCTTCTGTGTGGTCGTGGTATTTCACCGGGCGAGCCGGGACAATTCGTGCGAACATGTTAAAGCGGGCTCTACCACTGTTAGATTAAGGTTGATGGTCATTAATTTTTCAGATCAGCCTACCAAACTTTTATCAACATTCAACAATTCGTATATTTTAACTATGGGAAAGATGGAAAATTTCTCGTATTTTTTTTTTCAGTCTGCCACGTGTTTCACAAAATAGGTCACATGAACAAAAGTAAGGTTAGAACATAGAATATTAATTTTTATGCAAAATACATTGAATTTAAAATAGAAAAAGTAGTTTTGTTTTTCATATAAAGCATGTGAATACATTTGTTATATGTCATTGTAAAAGATTAACAAACAATTAAACTGTAAAGTATAATACGATTCAAAATTTACGTCAGCTCGTAGTTAGTTGCGATCAAATCGAAGCATCAATATCACACGTAGTCGATGTACCAATTCAATTTTAAATCATGTCACCCAGACAACAGTATTTGATTATTGCTATCGCTAGTCGAATCAAAAAAATGTGTCAAAAGGTACAATAATAATACGTGATATGCACGTAACATATCCAAAGTTAGTATTAGACACGTGTAAAAAAGGTTGGAGTTTTAAATTTATCGTATACAAGGTGTCAGCGACTGTCCGCGGAAAAAAATCATTAGCCTACGTATTCCGGACTATGTTCTACATCTATGCCTTGCAGTGTTCCATGCAGCCGTTCAGGAGATACCTTCAAACAATCGTCCATCCAAACATTCGCATTTATAAAATTACCAGCTGCCCGCGACGCCGTTCGCACGGAGATAAAAAAACATAATTAGTAGCCTACGTGTTCTTCCAGACTATGTTCTATATCACTGGTTCCCAAACTTATGTTTTCTACTGTCCACTTTGCGCCTCCATATTTTCACATATTTAAAAACCACTGTATCTTCAAATTAAATTAATTAATTATTGTGACCTATATATGTATATTAACGGAGAATTGTAAAGGAAACTTTTACTATAACCCGCAACTTGAGACCTGCAGCGCCCACAAGGGGGCGTTATCGCACACTTTGGGAAACGCTGGTCTATATGTATGTCAAATTTCATCGAGATCTATTCAGCCGTTCCAGAGATACCTTCTAACAAACATCTGAACATTCACATTTATAATTATTATCATACATTTATTTATATACATTTCTAATATAATACATTTCATATAAAAAAAATATATACAAAACATATTATATTAAAAATAGAACACCACCGGCTGCGGAATCCCATGACTCAAACAACCAGTGGTCAGGGCTGCTGCAGACAGGAACCTTCTCACGATGCGCGCGGTTTCTAGGATAACTGCCTTTTGTATCGGGCCCTTAATCCAACTGTTTAGCGAGAGCTTCTTGAGATGTTGGTCGAAGCTCTTCGCTATCAGTCCATTTACCGATACGACTATCGGAATAATGGTAGTCGATTTCATACGCCACATGGCGGTAACCTCGTGAGCCAAATCTAGGTATTTTAACACTTTTTCCTTTTCAGCTTTCACGAGATTCTCGTCATGTGGAATAGTGACATCGACTAACATTACACAACTCTCAGACCGGTCTATTATTACTATATCGGGCCTATTGGCAGCAATAGTCCTATCCGTAATAATAGATCGATCCCAGTAGAGCGTGATATCGCTATTTTCCAGAACGGGTGAAGGTTGGTACTGGTAATACGGTACCTCAGCATCCACAAAGGCATTTTACATTTATAATATTAGTAAGATTATTCAACTGTTAATTCTTCGGGAATTTAAGTAAAATCCTTTCTAGCTTAATCTTTTCTTATAACTTATTAATAGAGTATAGTAAACGGTTCTTTTAATGGTTTCATTGCCTTGATAGATTAATTATCTGTTATAAAAATACATAATATTTTTATGGACGGAAATAAAACCGGTTAATCTATTATTTAGGCCTAAAATAATGTCTTTAAAATAGAAAAAGTAAATTTTATTGACCTTAAAATATAAGTGCTCGTGTCTAATTATTGCATGATGATTGCATCAGGGTCACAGAGTCTACTCTACTAAGTGTAACTAGGTGATAGTGAATGCTGGTCCAGTGCATCACTTCATACATATCTTTGACATTCACAGATATGAGCAGCATCAACATGTTTTCCTTCACACTAACAACATAGGATAGATATTGAACGAAAAGCTGACAGTCTGGAAGAACACGTAGGCTACTAAATAAGTTCATTTTTAATAACTGTCGCCTTCAACTCTGTCCGCGTGGAATTAAAAAACATAATTAGACTATGTGTTCTTCCAGACTATGTTCTACATGTGTGTTAAATTTCATCAATATTCGTTGAGCCGTTCCAGAGATCATCATCAGCTCACTACACATCCTCATTGAGGGGCTCGGAGCTTGCCCTAAGTTAGGTATGAAGCCATAGTCAACCATGATGTGCCAATTGCGGGTTGACTTCACACATATCTTTGAATTTCTTCTCAGATATGTGCCGCATCACGATGTTTTCCTTCACCGTAAGAACGTCAGATAAATGTACATATGTAAATCGGTACATGGCGGGACTCGAACCCAGCACTTGGAGATTACAAGTTAAGTGCTCAACCCCTGAACCACCGACGCTCTCGACGATCAAAATATAATTAACATATAAACCTACATACATCTTCTTTATATCTTCTTATATATATAAAACAAAGTGGTGTTAGTTACACTATTTATAACTCAAGAACGGCTTTACCGATATGGTTGAAAATTGGTGAGGAGGTAGCTTAGAGCCAGGAGACGGACATAGGATACTATTTATTCATTTTTTTTCGAATTCATGCCTTGAAGAGCTTCTTTTTATTTAACTTACTAATATTATAAATGCGAATGTTTAGATGGATGTGATGTGGATGGGTGTTTGAAGATATCTCTAGAACGGCTGAACGGATCTCGATTAAATTTAGCATACGTATAGAACATAGTCTGAAAGAACACATAGGGCAACATTTTTTTCATATATTCACGTGGACGGAGTCGCGGGCGACAGTTAGTTAGACATAAATACAATACTACCAAAAAACGTTACCCTTTTATGTTAAGGAAAAATCGCACATTCGATTCAATAGTTGGTGTTAAACAAGCCTTATGTTATTACACATGTATATTATGTACATATTTGAATTCATTCGAATGTGTTTTAGCAATATATATAACTAAAAACCTTAATAGTATTTAGTTTGCAAATTTAATTCGACGAAAGGAGTTGACAAGGTTAGTATAAATATTTTTTTAAAAACCTTTCAATGGTTTTCTTTATAACTTATATGATATATAAACGGCAAAACACTCACGTATAATCCGGTGGCAGCACAGACTACTTTCAAGCCCATCGGGGGCCCTTCATCGGAGTGAGTGGGACTGGTATTATTTCGCGGACGCGGGCCATCGCTCACCAAGGGCCCCCGATGAGCTCCAAACTAGTCAGTGCCGCCACCGGACGAATATACGTCAGTGTTTTAGCCGTTTTTATATCAGTTTATTATAATGTCTCACGAAAGTTTTAATAAATTAATAGTTTTATTATTGGCCATAATAAATACTGTTTTTAATTTAAAATAGATTTATAATTATCCAAAACTAGCTGTCGCCCGCGACTCCATCCGCGTGGATATATAAAAAAATTAATTAGTGTAGCGTATGTGTTCTTTAAGATTATGTTCTATACGTATGTCAAATTTAATCGAGATCCGTTCAACGGTTCTAGAGATATCTTCAAACAAACATTCGTATTTATAATATTAGCAAGTTAAATAAAAAGCAGCTCTTCAAGGTATAAATTCGAAAAAAAAAGAATAAATAGTATCCTATGTCCGTCTCCTGGCTCTAAGCTACCTCCTCACCAATTTTCAGGCATATCGATGAAGCCGTTCTTGAGTTATAAATAATGTAACTAACACGACTTTCTTTTATATATAGATGTTTAAATGGATGTTTGTTAGAAGGTATCTTTAGAACTGCTGCATGAATCCTGAAAGTTATAAATGTAGAACATAGTCTGGAAGAACATATAAAATACGAAGTTTTTTTTTAATTCACGTCAACGGAGTTTCTGGCGACATTGATAGGTAAAATTATATATAAGTCCCGGAGGCCTAGTCCTCTTTCCCTTCCCACCCTTTTTCTTATAAGGAAAAGATGAGAAGTGGAATTTTCCGGATGAGAGGATGCATGGAAAGGGAAAATATTTTCTTTCTGTGCGTCTCCTCCGTCGATTAAAGGTAGGCAACGCATTCAATTGCGTATGTCTATGGGCAACGGTCACTTCGCTATTTCAGCGATTTCAGGTGACCGCTCGCTCGTTTGCCACCTTATGATATAAAAAAAAATACTCCACATAAGAACAATGAAATAGTTATATATTTTTATTGTATTCCGTAAAAAAATAGATTAGGATTTGAAATAAAAACATGCAACAATATCATTTTAATGTCGTTCGTGACTTGACCAATGGAAATAAATCAAGACTGTAATCTCCCAATCATGTTCTTTTTTTTGCTTGTTCCATTTTCAAAAATACTTATTTCAGTCTTCCCGTAAAACAAGCTATCGCCCGCCATTACGTTCGTACAGAACTTAAAAAAAAAACTTAATAAGTAGCCCAGAATATGTTCTACATCTATGCCAAATTACAACAAGATACAGCCGTTCTGGAGATACCTTCTTACTTTCGTAACAAGCCATCCATCCAAATAATCTTTACTTTAAGCACAAACGCACCTTACACACTTTAACTTAAAGGCCGGTAACGCATCTGCGGTACCTCTGGCATCGGATCAAATAATATTAGGCGATTCGTTGCTCGTTTGCCCCCTTCTCCTATATATAAAAAAAATACTTTGACTGTTTTTTGTTTTATATTTTAACTTTTAACCAACCATGACAGGTTTATTGACATTGAATTTTGGTACAGTTGTAACTCGTATAAAATACTATCAAAAAAAATAAAAAAATATATATATAATAACAAAAATAAAAAGTAACCAGATTGAATAATAATTCAATTGTCAACTAATTAACACTTAGACATATAAAGTGATTTACATTTCCTTTTCGAATAAAATTTACATATCCAATACGACAAGTATAAAACAAATCAAACATTTCATCGGCTCGTGGTTAAATGCGAACCCACATTGTGATAGAGTAGCGTGGACACACGAGCTAAATGGACTCGCCGAATTAAAAAAAAAACTTTAAAATACTGGTGACCTTGAAGCTGGCAACACCGAATTGTAGTCCGTGTAACTAAATTGACCAATGCGCAATGGGCCAACGTGGTTAACTATGACCTAGTCCCCTATCTTAGGATAGGCTTTGATTCTCTCAGTGGAGAAGTATAGTAAGCTGATGATCATTTAAACCAGTCTTTGTGTGCAATAACGCCCCCTTGTGGGCGCTGCTGGTCTCAAGTTGCGGGTTATAGTTAAAGTTTCGTTTAGAATTCCCCGTTAATATACATATATAGGTTACAATAATTAACTTAATTTGAAGTTATAGTTGTTTTTAAATATGTGAAAATATGGGGGGCGCTAAAAAAATATTTATTCTCAAAGTGGGCAGTAGACAAAATAAGTTCGGGAACCACTGGTTTCAACCCTTATATTAATTTATTTCAGCTACAAATATGACTCCGAATCCAAACGAGAGTTCTTTGGAAGAATTTCACCTACAAGTAAAGAGACCTGTCGTGAGTGAAAAGCCTGAAAAAATCGAAATAGTATATGTTAATGTTTTTATATACTCTGCCTACCACATTTTCGCGTTATATGGATTGTATTTATCCTTTACATCTGTTAAATGGCCTACTATTATATTGGGTAAGTTAGAAAATAGATTCATCTGTTGCACGCATGGGCATCGTCTGCAGCAATACCACGACCACACAGAAGACAGGCGTCAAGTGGAAGCAATTCCAACTACAGTCTGATTAGTGTCCCGGAGGCCTAATTTTAATCCTCTTACCTTCCTTCTCTTTTCTTACAAGAAAAGAATGGGAAGGGAAGTAGATTTGATGGAGAAGACGCATAAGAAAGTAAATATTATATTTCTATGCGTCCCCTCCCCCGTAGGTAGGCATTTGCAATTGTGGATGTCTATGGGCTGCGATTGCTTCGTTTTTTCCGTGAATTCATTTGGCCACTTACTTATTTATCACCATATATTATAAAAAATAAGAAGAAGGCAAACGAGGAAATAGAAAAAGTCACTAATTTATTTTGCTTGAAATAGATGCGTAATGTCGAACCTTCAAAATATATCTAGTTAACGTTTCAATCAGAAGCTTAGTTACGCAGATGTTATAAAAAAAATCATGAGCTCACAAATGCTGGCAGGGAACTGGTCACTGGTGACAGGAGTGGCGTTTCACGTGTTAAGTGGACATTGATAAGTCTATCTCCCTTTAGAAAAGAGTGGGATAGAAGGGTTAATAAGTTAAGTTCTGTTCTATTCAGATTTATCAGATTACTATTTGATTTCTCTGCTTACAGGTATAATACTCTGGACTCTATCGATATTAGGTACAACAATGGGTTCGCACAGACTATGGAGTCATAGAGCGTACAAAGCCAATTTACCTCTACAAATATTTTTAATGATATGTACATCAATAGCTTGTCAGTTGACGAGTTACAATTGGGTAAGAGACCACAGAATGCATCATAAATATTCCGATACGAACGCTGACCCACATAATGCGAAACGAGGATTCTTCTTCTCTCATATGGGATGGTTGTTAATTAAAAAGCATACCGAAATGAAACGATTGGGGAATACTATTTATATGGACGATGTTCACAGTAATCCAGTACTTATGTTCCAAAAGAAGTAAGTAAATACGTACACTTGGAAAGTAATAAAAAAAAATAGTCTTTGTTAAACCGCGACTCTGTCTTGTCGCCCGCAACTCCGCCCGCGCGGATTTAAAAGAACTAAACTTTAATTATTAACCTATGTGTTCTTCCAGACTATGTTCTATATCCATGCAGCTGTCCTGAAGATAACTTCAAACATCCAACTAAACATTCGCATTTATAATATTAGTAGGAAATAAGATAGAAAGCTATAAAGATTTTTTGATTTTTTTTTGTTTCAATATCGATTTGTCTGTAAGTTTGTGTGCGCTAAACTCAAAAACGGTTAAACTTTTTTGAACGCAATCTACATTAATATATTATAATAAAATTCATTTAAAATTTAGTATCTGTTTTATATCTAATAATATTATAAATGCGAATGTTTAGATGTATGTTTGTTTGAATATATCTCCAGAACCGCTCAACAGATCTTGATGAAATTTTACACAGATGTAGAACATAGTCTGGAAGAACACATAGGCTACTAATTTGATTTATTTTTTTAATCGTCAATGCATAAATAAAGTAATAGTAACTGTAAAGATTTTTTTATCTATTTCAGATACGCAATACCGTTTATGGGATCTCTTTGTTTCATAATACCGGTGTTAATACCTATTTATTTCTGGAACGAAAGCTTCGTTAACGCTTGGAATTTTAACATATTAAGATTCATTCTTGGCGTCCATTCGATTTGTTCAATAAATAGTTTCGCACATTTATTTGGGACAAGACCTTACGATGAGAACATAATGCCTGTTGAAAATATAGGTGTATCTCTAGTGACCTTAGGCGAGGGATTCCATAATTATCACCATTCATTCCCATGGGATTACAAAGCTGGTGAGCTTGGAAATAATTGGTTGAACTTTAGTACTGCGACAATAGACTTCTTCGCTAAGTTAGGATGGGCTTACGATCTAAAGACTGCGTCTGACGCAGTGGTGGAAGCGAGGATTAAAAGAACTGGTGATGGAACATATAAAAGAGAAGATATTAAAGAAAGTGATAGGGGAAAGAAACAAAAGAATATAGGTCTATGAAAAATAAATATTAATATAGCAATTGATGTTTAGCAATGATATTAAGAAGCGTCAATAGCCTAATGGTCAAGGGTACGGATTTCCGATCCATGAGGTCTAGGGTTCGAATCCCGATATTCGACTATTTTATTAGTAAATTAGTAATTGTTAGTAAATTTTCAAAAACTGCGGATATATTTCTAAAAAAAAATTTTGGGTTTTCTTTGTAAAAATGTTGAAACTTGGTGTCATTATTATTTAAAAAAAAATTGTAAACCCTAATGACTGTATCAAATGACACTTAGAATATGAATGAAATGACACCTCACTTGTCACTTGTTAACTCGTTTAGGTACGAGGTGTCAAACCATGGTTAATAAAGGTGGTAAAATTTCAGGTTAGGAATTAAATTAGCTAAAATAAAATGATGAATTTAGTAAAAACTTGAGAAATTTGCACGCAATTTTTATAAGTTTAAGTTTTATCCAATATTTACTTTTTTTTATAAAGATTAACTAGTTCAGGAAGTTTGCACACCCTTTATTTATTATATTTATACAAAAAGACTACCAAAATATTGTCTTTTATACGTAATTTATTAAGAATTGTTTAAATTATAAGATGTATACGTTATTTAAATAAAAAATAAGATATTTTTTAAAAATTATTGTTTTTATTACCCAATTCTTAAAGATCAGAGACATATGCTTTATATTACGCATTTCCATTGTTTAAAATATTGAAAATATTAATTATTTTACTAAATACTAAAGATATATTAGTTAAATAAACTAATAAGATTTTTGCGGCAATAAAGCTGCAGGCGCTATAATTTTAATTATCCATACTCGGCATACGTTGCAATATCAAAGACGATAGTCTTAATAATAAAAATAGCATTTTTTTTACTTTTGTCGTAACAAACTTTGGTTGTACGTTCTCTGAATATCGTACTAAAAACAATTGTTACCCGTGACTTTGTCCGCGTGAATACAAATCAATAATTTTTATACTTTAGCGAAAAAAAAAACTTTGGATAAAGAGTTGAAAAGTCTTATCAGAAAAATTACTAAGAAGTATTCAAAAGATTGAATATCAACGATTTAAAAATGATATAACATTACTTTTGGAATTAAGTCATTTCCTTACGTATTAATAAGAAATTTAACTTTGTCTTTACTTCGAAAACTTTGGCAATAATTCATAAAAGGAATCCTCAACTGACAGCCCGCGTCAATCAATCAAACTTACAAATCGATAAATATAACAAAAATACGACCTCACTAAATGTACGCTTTCACTAGACCAACACGCAACGCACGCACGGATTAAACGGATTGCTTTCTTTTCATGCGGACGACGCGGTTGGACGCAGCGCTATTTTTTTATATTATAAGATGGCAGACGAGCGATCGGCCACCTGAAATCGCTGAAATAGCGAAGTGACCGTTGCCCATAGACGCAATTGCATATGCGTTGCCTACCTTTAATCGACGGAGGAGAGGATGCACAGAAAGAACATATGCATCCTCTCATCCGGAAAGTCCACTTCCACTTCCCATCCTTTCCTTATAAGAAAAGGGGTGGGAAGGGAAAGAGGACTAAATTTGGCCTCCGGGACGCACACTCATCAGACGAAACGCGGAATTGCTTTCACGTGACGCCTGTCTTCTATATGGTCGTGGTATTTCACCGGGCGAGTCGGCCCAAATCGTACGAAAATCTTAAAGCTTGTAATACAAAGCTAACTAAAATCCGTTGCGTGCGTCCGGTGCGGGCCAATGGGCGTGTCTTTACAAAAGAATTCAATTGTCATGAAATACTGTTGTCTCGGTTGTCATCAAAGAGAATGAAAGGGATAACGATCTTTTATATATATCACAGTTCTACAATTATTTAAAGCAAAGTTTGTAACTAATAAACTCAAAAACTACTGAATTTATTAGTTACATACTTGATTTATTTAGATTTGTAGAATTCTTTTAAATGAGAAAGCAACGTTATCTTATTAATATTATAAATGTGAATGTTTAGATGTATGTTAGAAGATATCTCCAGAACTGCTGCGTGGATTTAAAACTTTAAAATTCGACATAAATATAGAACATAGTCTGGAAGAACACATAGTTATTTTAATTCCTAGTTTAGTTTAATATAATTCTAGACTCCGTGCGCGTGGATATATAAAAACTTAATTTGTGTAGTCCACCCATCCATCCGTCCACATCACATCCATCTAAACATTTGCATTTATAATATTAGTAAGCTAAATAAAAAGCAGCTCTTCAAACCATGAATTCGTTTTTTTTTAAATGAATAAATAGAATCCTATGTCCGTCTCCTGGCTCTAAGCTACCTCCTCACCAATTTTCAGCCATATCGGTAAAGCCGTTCTTGAGTTATAAATAGTGTAACTAACACCACTTTCTTTTATATATAGATAGATTTTAAATCTCAATCTTTGTAGGGTTAAACGCCTCTCCAGCAAAAAACACGTATATAATCGTACCGCACAAGTGTCTTGACACAACCAAGACCATAGCTAAATAAAATTTTTATTACAATACTGTCATCCTTGACGCGGAGTGAAAAAAAACTTAATAAGTAGCCTATGTGTTCTTCCAGATTATGTTCTACATCTATGACAAATTTCATCAAGATCTATGCAGCCATTCTCGAGATACCTTTAAACAAACATTCATCAGTCCATCTATCCAAACATTCGCAATTATAATATTAAGTAAGGTAGTAAGACTAGCTGATGCCCGCGACATAAAAACATAATTAGTAGCCTATGTGTTCTTCCAGACTATATTATGCTATATATGCTATATATGCTAAATTTCAGTGAGATCTGTGCAGCTGTTCTGGAGATACCTTCTAGCAAACATCTAAACATTCGCATTTATAATATTAGTATTATTAAACTTTGGTATAATGTCCTAACGATGTCAGTGAAGGTTTGTGCACTACGAAACGTTTGTTTTTTCGTTTTCGATGATTTTTAGAGTTACGTACTACAAAATGAGAGAAATACCCTTATAGGATCACTTTGTTGTCCGTCCGTCTGTTTGTCGAGACACTTTTTTCGTGGATAAAAAACTAAATTAATAACTCAGTTATTATATTAAATAATAAATACTTAATCTTATATCTTTAAATGAGCAATTCTTGTATATCTATAATTGGTATCTCGGAATCGGCTCCGAGAATTTTCATAAAATTTAGTATATAGGGGGTTTCGTGGGCGATAAATCGATCTAGATAGGAATCATTTTTAGAAATATCATTTTATTCGTGTTTTATTGATAATCAACTTAAACATAAACTTAACTTTTTCTATCGGTAAGATCGAAAAATATTATTCATATTTCATCATTTTATTAGTAATTCGTACTTAAATATAATTTCCAAAAAAACATAATTAAAAAAAAAATACCGAGCAAAGCTCGGTCATCCAGGTACTAACTAGTAAAATACGCACTTTATTTATATCTTAAAATAATTATATTTCTTTTATATTTCTATTTATTATATTATCTTATTAATAAAACTTACCTTAAAACCTTATTTTAATAATTCACTTAATAACAGAGTCACTGAACGATTGATTTTGATAATCGCGATGTTTATAAGCGTGGATAGAACACGCCTTTACCGCACGACGACCGACGATCGACTGACGAAGTAGGGATGGGACGGGGTTATAACTACTAGGGGCTGTAGGTATTTAGTTATACATCAGGGTGGATGTTACCGTAACATTTAAAACATCGCCAATTTTCATTCTGACAAGACTTTTATTTTTGTAATATAACATAATCAACGTGTCAATTGTAGCGAAGTTCTTGGTACAATTTTAAAGAAATCTAACTTAGTAATTTATAAAATTAAATTAAAACAGTCCTTTAGACTAGAATAAGATGTAAAAATCAAGTAAAATTCCTATTTACAATTCAAAAATTAGATTTTGAAATCGTTAAGGCATGATTTTTAATATACCCATTTTTATACAGTTTAAAATTTACCTGACAAGTTCTAGTGATATTGTAAACCGTCCAAATTCATAATATAACGGCGACATACACAGTGGGGTAGAAGTAACAGAATTTATCCGTGAGTTATTTAAAATGTGGGAACAACGTATGTGCTACGAAGTGTCTACGGCTCTACGGCGTAGACCGTAGACATGCGGTTTTTATAATTTGCTTGGTTTATTATACCTCTCACAGTCTATTAAATGATCACTAAGGGTAGTTAATGATTCATTTTAATATAATATTTAATTATAAAATTATTATATTAGTTACATTTTAACCCGAATAACAAAGATTATTTTGGCACATATGTTTTTTTTATGTATGGGTTTGTATGGATGTCAATTCAATTCTTATCTATGGTATAAATTACTGTTTAGAGGTCAAGTCGATTAGGTTATTTTGTCATACTAAAGACTGTTGTCATTGTGGTCTGTCTCTTTTATAGTGACATCTTAATATCACTTATTTTTTAAACACGCTGATTCTCGAAAGTTGTAAGTTAATAATTATTAAAAAAAAATTAGGTATTAGTAAGTAAAATTGGATATTTTCTTTTAAATTCCTTCATTTAAGGTTCCTTACCTCATAGGAAAAATCCCTTATAGCATTTTGTTGTCCGTCCGTCTGTCTGTCAAGAACCTTTTTCTCAAAAACGCGTGAAGGTATCAAGCTGGAATTTATATCATTATATGGTAACCATGATATTACAAATGTGAATGTTTAGATAGATGTATGTTAGAAGGTATCTCCAGAACTGCATAAATCTCGATAAAATTTGACACAGATGTAGAACATAATCTGGAAGGAAATATAGACTACTAATTAAGTTTTTTATTTTTATTTTACGCGGACGAAGTGATTGTCGACAGCTAATTTTACTATATATTCCTTAAAGACAGAGCATGTCTCATATACTCTCATCAAGATAACCCTTCCTACTTTTGAAATAATATTTTTATTGTTAACTAACTATGACCCGCGACTCCGTCCTTAATTTGTAGCCTATGTACTCTTCCAGACTGTGTTCTACATCTATGCCAAATTTCAGCGTGATCTGTTAATATAAATGCGAAAACATTCGCATTT